GGACAGACTGAGCGTGGCTGACCGAAATCAGACTGCCTTCTCCGTACTGAATGAAAATAACAGACCGCTGAAGCCCCGGAGCTCGAATGTCCATCATAAATCTAACTTTTCCGCGGTTTAATGTGGTGCTATGGCTCTGCAGACATTGCACGTTGCTGTCTTGTTTTGTGGTGTTTCTAGTAAAATACTTCCACACAGCGGACATGTTTCGATGAAAAGTTGGTTAGCCGTTAGCCACAGTTCTGGTAACTCAATCCTCACGTTGTAGCTGTCTGCAAACTATGAAATGGATTTCCTGAATGTGAGGTTTGTCTTTTTACTCTGGGTTCATGAAAAGCGCCTCAGTTCAGGAAATTCCTTCCATAGTTTGAAGCCAATGTGCAGCGCAACCACATACATGCATCATGGATCGGACATATAGGCAGGTTGGATCGGAAACTCCGATACGTAAATTATGCTGGCATCGGAGCCCAATACCAATACTGGATCAGATTGGCCCCATCCCTAGCTACATCCTCCCCCTTCTAAAAGATTTTGATGTCCTCATCTAACAATAGAGTTTAAACTTAGATTTAGAGGGGCATTTTATAGGATGTTTAGAGTTCTTTACTATATTATAGTACTACTATTACTATCTTTCAGCTGAGGCGCCTGTCAAAAATCAAGCCCCTCCTTTCTAGGCACCACTTAGAGACAGTAATCCACGCTTTTATTACTTCACGCCTGGATTATTGTAACTCTCTGTTGGTAGGAGTTAGCCAGGCCTCGCTCTCACGGTTACAGCTGGTACAAAATGCTGCTGCACAATTTTTGACTGGTACAGGCAGGCGTGAACATATCACTCCAGTTCTGATGTCCCTTCACTGGCTTCCTGTCCAGTTTCGAATTCATTTTAAAGTTCTACTGTTTGTTTTTAAGTCTCTGAATGGTCTTAGTCCATCTTATTTGTCTGAACTGCTTCACTTTTACATACCATCACGTGCTCTTAGATCCTCTGACCAGATGTTTTTAGCAGTCCCGAAAACCTTTTATAAATCCAGAGGAGACAGAGCCTTTTCAGCTCTGGCTCCTAAATTGTGGAATGAGCTGCCACTGGAGGTCAGGCAGGCCCCGTCACTTTCTGTTTTTAAAACTCGTTTAAAAACACTTTTTTTTTCCATTGGCTTTTAACCTATAGTGAGTCGGCATCTGTGTCTTAATGTTGTATTCTTTTACTTATGATGTTCTGATTATTATTATTTTTTATGTATATTTAGATGTTTTTATTGTTTTACTGGTTTTTGTTTGTTTTTAATTTTGTACAGCACTTCGGACGACTGCTTGTTGTATTTTAAGTGCTTTAGAAATAAATTGGTATGGGTATGGTATGGTATATTAGTTTAATCTCTGGTACTGAGGATTAACTGGATGATCATTCCTTGATGCACGATTGTCACAGGTTCCTCAGTTTGTGTTCCAGGTCTGTCATAAGACAAGAGGATGACTGGTTTCACTCCTCGCATTGACTTTCAAGTTGTAGGACTTGAGTGCGTTCTTAACTCCCTGTCAGTGTCTTTAGCTGTATCGTTGGTATCTTCTTCCATTTGCGAGGGCTGACATTCCTCTTCTTGAGACATTTCAGGTGCCATTACTCCAATTCTGGTTCACTCTCTGAAGAGGGAAAAGTTCTCTAGATTGGGTCTAAAAGTAGGCTCTAGATTGGGTCTGTTTGGAATGGAACATTTTCACTTGACATTGCCATGGTCATTTGCTGAATAGTTGTAAATATAGACATACTCAGATTCTGAGTCTGAGTAAATATCAATGTGTGGATTATTTTGATCAAATGTCTGATGTCTAAGAGCATGTTGTCTCCTAGTGGTATGACTTGCAGTTTGTTCTGAGTTATCTGAAAGTCTGACAATGTAACCAACTGGTAAAAGATGGTCTCTGTGCAACATTTGGACATTTCCAGTTCTATATTAGGGTTAAACTCGGTACACAGGCAAGTTTGGTAACTTCTGGACCATAGTATAAGGGGCAGATTTCCATCGGTCTTGAAGTTTGTGTTTGCCAGTAAGACCAGTTTCTTATCAGGACTCTATCGCCTTCCTGCAGAGGTCGATCTGTCACTCTTTGGCCATAACATGATTTGTTACTCAGATGGTTCTTGGTCGCACTTTTGGTAGCTAGGTGATAAGCTTGTTGGAGTTCTTCTCACATTTTGTCCATTTACTGTAAGTGAGATGTTTCTGAATTACCCTGAAAAGCAGCACCAAAACAGATGTCAACAGGCAATCTGGTGTATCATCCAAACATTAAGTAATAGGGAGAATATCCAGTGGACTCATTTTTAGTTCAGTTATACGCATGCAATAACTGACCAATATGTTGACTCCAGTTTTGTTTCTTCACATGTTCAAGGGTTCCAAGCATTGACAGAAGTGTGCTGTTGAACTGGGGTGGCTGTGGCTGAGTGGTTAGAGCAGTCGTCCTCCAATGCGAGAGTTGGGGGTTCGAATCCACCCAGCCACATGCCGAAGTGTCCCTGGGCAAGACACTGAACCCCTCATAGCCTCTGATGTGTGTCCCATCAGTGTATGAATGTGATCTATAGCACTGATTAGTCTCATTAGAATGATTTGTTCAATTAGCTTTGTAGAGATCTAGTAGAATGCTGTATGAATGGGTAAATGAGGACACAGATTGTAGTGTAAAGCGCTTTGAGTATCTTGAAATAAGATAGAAAGGCGCTATATAAGTACAGTCCATTTACCATTTACTATGATGGCAGACTGTGGGACATGTCCATTTTTCAGTGTCACTGGTGTACTGTCAGGATAATAGATCAGCATCTATGTTGTGACGACCTTGACAATACTGGATGCAAAAGTCATACATAGCTAAAGCTGCAAGTCAACAATGTCTGATAGCATTTAGTTTTGTAGTTGTTAACACATATGTTAACAAATTGTTGTCCGTTCTAACTGTGAACCTAGCCCCACAAAGGTAGTTATGAAATTTGTCCACAACTACCCACTTTAGGGCCAAGAACTCAAGTTGATAGACAGGGTAGTTACGTTCTGAGTCACTGAGCTTTCGGCTTGCGAAGGCAACAGTCTTTGAGGCCTTCAGGATACTCTTGGTTAAGAACAGCACCTAAACTTTTCAGACTAGCATCTACGTGCAAGACGTAAAATTGGATGGGATCAGCAAATACTAACACAGGAGTATTTTTTCCCTTCTTGCTCTCGGTGAAGGCGGGTGCTTTTTCCTCCCACTTCTTCCCCTGCTTCTGCTCTTTGTCCTGTGAACCTTTCAAAGCCTCTCTTTGCATATCTTGCGAATTGTAAATTATGGATCTGTTCAGCTGGTCTCTCAACGCAACTGATCAAATTTTCTCGATGAGAAGACAGGGTGAAGGAGAGCCCTCCTGCCTTGATGGGACACTTGCAACTGGAGACACAATGGATTCCTGGGGGCAGTGTGTGTCTGTCCACATTGTCAGCCAAGGATGTTGGAAGATGTGCACATAATTGGATTTATGATAACAGGATTTCTGCTTTTTGGAGTTGGTGGTTAGCTGGTATATTGACAAATTCGAAAAACATTGGCAGCTGTTCTGGCCATTGTGAAGCTGCCTGGTGAAGGAATGTTCCATGCTGTGAACACTCAGACTGAAATGCTGTGTGAGCTGAGCCGTAAGCTGGACACGATTTCTGCTGAGAATCGCAATCTACTTGCGGCTCCTGAATCTTGCTGGCGGGAAAGAATCGACCTTGGGGAAGTTACAAGCTCGGCTCAGCAATACTGACCACAAATTTGGCTGTTTGAAGTCGCCATTGAGATGTATCAGTAGAACTTTAAGGCAGATGGAAAACAACGGAGTCAGCCTGACCCGAAACAACAGTTGTTATCTGAATCTAGCATCCCCCGTGTCAACCTTGGAAAACTCTATCTCAAATTCTCCTGGATGTTTTGTGAACAAGATGCTTCGCTCTACCTCCGACCTGTTCCCTTCCCCAAGGACATCTATGAGCCTGTCTGGAACAGTGTTCACGGACTGATAAATGCACACATGCATACACCCATTCGCATAGCTCACACTCCCCTCAACCAACTGCCTTCATTGGCCTCCCTCCTTTTGCCCCCCCCCCCCCCCCCCCCCCCCCCGGCCACTTCACTCTCATCTACACCACATGCATCTTATTGTTTCATCTGTATGTTGCTTTTTTGTGTTGAATTTTTTTTGCAACCTTACTCTGTGTCCTATTAGGGACACAGTGTGAAATATGATTTTTTTTAACCTCTTCTTTCCCTCATGTTCCCTTTTCCTTACTGAATGAAAAAAGGCAGCACCTCTCATGAGGCTGCAGCCTCAGGCATCCTGTCTTCATATGTCTATGTTGTTTGTGTTTCTTGGACGGGCTTTACTGAAATGTAATTTCGTTGTACTTCAGTGCAATGACAATAAAGGCTGATTCTGACTAGTTAAACAGTCCATCCATCCATCCATCCATCCATCCATTATGTCGCTGTTTAAAGCGCTCTATAAATAAATGGTATGGTATGGCACTATCATCCGCTTGTTACAAAGTCGGGTCGTGGGGGCAGCATCTTGAGCAGGGAGGCCCAGACATCTCTTTCCATAGCCACCTCTCCTAGCTCTTATGGGGAGACCCCAAGGCGTTCTCAGGCCAACCGAGAGACATAGTCTCTCCAGCATGTCCTGGGTCTTCCCCGGGATCTCCTCCCCGTCGGACATGCCTGAAGGGACCCAAATGGCTATAAATTAATTCCTTCTCATTAAAAGATTATTTTATCTAGGCATTTAACCTGAAACAGATTTGAAATGCAGAGACTCAACTCTAAACCAGGACCAATTTTAACAAGTCTCTACATAAACATTAAAAAAATGTTGTTGTTTTTTAATAATATTTTTAAAGAAACTTTTCTTGTGCAGTTTTTCTGTCTGCTCTGCCAAAAGCAGTATCTTCTGCTGCTGCAGTAACAGGTAATACCTGGCATAAAGTGTACAGAAGAGAAAGATGAGCAGTCCAACGATGCTCTGTGCATCCCACCACTGCACGTTAATGGGGGCTTGGGTGGGTCCAGGTGGTGGAGTGGGACTGCTGGGCTGCACCAGACTCAACAGACTAGGGTTACACTGGCGTTCTGTGGTGGGGAAACATTCAAACGGTTACTAGCAGCCAGGATTATGGTAATCATTTACATTGTTTTGTTTTGTTCTATTACTAGTGCCTTGGGTTCACAGGACTCACTTGGGTTGTTGGTCATGGCTGACCAGGTGAGGTACATGGTGTAGAGGGAGATAAGGGAGGCCTGGAGCAGACCTGAGGTGGGCTGAACATCCTGTGGAGAAATGAAGGGACTAGTTAAAGGACATATCATAAAATCATTCAAGTTGGATTGAAAGCTCTTAAATATAACTTTAAAACTGAACAGCCAGCTGCTGCTACGTTCCGTCTGCTTTTCAGTCACATTTATTTAATCATAGTTCAACAAGAATAATTATTCCCTTTTTATTATTTTGGTTGAATATGTATTTGTGACAGTGTATGTAGTTCTCACATTGTGAGCTCATTACACACAACTGGGGTTCCCAACATTTCATGAAAACAAATTTCCCTGATTTTCCACATTTTCATGAGTAAATCCTGAAATTCCAAGAGATATTTCAGTCACAAAAAACACTCAGAACTTGGCATCTTAGGTGGTGGGCATAGTCACATTCGGATACGACAGGAAGTATGCTGTAGCCTACAGTACATGCAAACAGCAATTATTCCTAATAATTAATTATATTGTGTAAGATCAGAAAGTAAAAAGCCACCAGAGCCATAAGGGTACATGTACTGTACACTGTACAAGTAGAACATGGACTCAATGATACTAGAATACTGGCACTAATAAATGAACACATCAAAATCTCAGAAAGATCATCTTTTCATCAGCAGATAAGTGTTCAAATTCCCAGTTTTCCCTCATTTTTGAAAAATTTCTCAAATTTCCCGAATTTTCCCTGTCTGAAAAATGTGAAAGTGGAATTGCTGGGAACCATAACAACATGCAATCAATGCAAATAAAAAAGGTTCAGCACGGCTTCCGGTTATGGCAGCCACGTGAGAAGACGCACGGAACTTCGCTCTGCCGCTGGCTGCACTAATAAGGGGGAAATAACTGCTGCCCACAAAGGATTTATGTGAAGAAAAGGACATTTCGATATATAATGCCTAACTCGACTAAACAACACAAAGGGAGAAGTGAGGCATCCAAACAAACGAAGCTGTTCGGCCACGACCTCCGTGGAGAAGCTCGCAAAGCTAACAAAAACATGGCCGCGCAAGAAGAAAAGAGCTTGTCAGAAAACAGTAAGTCCGATCAAATTCTGACTGCGCTAGAATCGTTAAAAAGTGAGTTCTCCTCGAAACTTGATGGGCTGATGGAGACACTTCAGGATATGAAACAGGAGATGAAAGACTATAATGAGCGTATGTCGCGAGCTGAGGACCGTATTTCCTCCACAGAAGATGAAGTGGCTAGCTTGCATGCTAGCATGAGCACCTTGCAAGCTAAAAATAAATCGATGGAGAATAAACTCATGGACTTGGAAACAAGGTCTCGCCAGAATAATTTAAGGCTAGTCAATTTGCCAGAAGGTGCTGAGGGCCCAGACTTGTGTGCTTTTTTGGAAAGGTGGATACCCGAGGCGTTGAGGAGTGAGACGCTACAGCCCTCTCTGAGCCTGGAAGGAGCCCACAGATTGGGCCCGAGAGCGGACAACGCTTCCTGACCGAGAACCTTGATAATGAAGTTCCTCAACTACCGAGAAAAGCAAGCCGTTGTTCGAGCTGCAGGAGGGAAAAATGAAATTTTCTACAAGGAGCAACGGGTCCGATTTTACCCTGATTTGGCTTCTGGGCTCCACCAGCTGAGGAAAAAGTTTGATCCAATCCGGGAGGAGCTGCGTAAACTGAATATCCGCAATGGGGTAACTTACCGTGTGTGGATTGGTGCTGGGCGATAACGGGAGACATAATGGATGTGGGCGGGACTTTCCCAGTATGGGGAAGGGACTTCGTAGGGGGGGAAGGTTTGCGTTCTTTAGGCTGGATGTATGTTCTAACATCCGGTTTTGTTGTGTCTCACATTTCTACAATATTAAGCAACCCACTACTTTTATTAATATATGCCTCAAACCGTAAAATGTAAGTTTATTTCATGGAACTGTAGAGGACTTCAACGCCTCCAAAAAGTCAAACAAGTTATGAATAGATTGAAAGAAAAGGAGTCTAAAATTGTATTTCTTCAGGAAACGCATCTTCTGGATGAGGATAACTTAAAAGTGAGGAGGAGGTGGAGAGGCAATATATATACAGCACCGTTCACATCTCATTCTAGAGGGGTTATGACTTTAATACATGAATCAATACCAATGCAAATTAAAAACATTATTAAAGACAAAAAAGGAAGGTATCTAATACTCCAGGGCTCCCTACTGTCGGAAACTCTAATTCTAACTAATATATATGGTCCTAATGTGGATGACAGTAATTTTTACAAAGATTTATATTTCACCCTCTCAACGCTTAAAGGATCACACATAATGGGGGGGGGACTTTAATTGTACATTAAATCCAAGATTAGACAGATCAACTGGAATAGATCAATCTCATAACAATTGTAGAGCTGCCATTCATAGAATGATGAAAGAGCTGAAGTTGTTGGATGTATGGAGAGAGAAAAATCCCATTAGTAATACATACTCCTGTTATTCAAGCTCTTTCAAAACCCACTCCAGAATCGACTTCTTCCTAATCTCTGCAGAGTTGCAGTTTAGAATTCAGGACTGCTCCTATGATAATATTGTAATTTCAGATCACGCTCCATGTTGCTTGGTTTATAAAGATGACCAATTAAAGAGAGACCCACCGAGATGACAGTTCCAGCACAAGTGGTTACAAGATGAAAACTTTGTGTCATATTTAGGGAAACAAATTGACGAATTCTTTCAATTTAATACTACAGAAACAACAGCATGTACAAAATGGGAAGCATTTAAAGCTTTCCTCAGAGGACATATTATTAGTTACACAGGATATAAGACAAAACAATCTGAAAAAACTAGAATACAATTGGAAGAGAAAATAAAGGTAACCCTAGCTAAAGTAAATAAAGGGAATAACCAGCATTTAGAAAAGGAATTATTGATTCTGAGAGCAGAATATGATAAACACTCAGCTTCAAGAGCAGCGTCGAGCCTTTTGCGACTAAGGCAATCATTTTATGAACAGGGCAATAAAGCAGGCAAGTTATTGGCATGGCAAATAAAACAACTAGAAACTAAACAACCGATTACATCTATTATATCAAATGGACAAACTGCATGATCCTCAAGAAATTAACGCAGCCTTTAAAAATTACTATGAGGAATTGTATAAAGCACAAATAAGCATAAAATCAGAAAACATAAATCAGTTTTTGAAAAATTTAAATATACCTAAAATCTCAGACGAAGACAAGGACAACTTGGATTTAGAAATTACGAAAGAAGAATTAGGGCAAGCCATTAACAATATGAAATCAGGGAAAAGAGCAGGACCAGATGGTCTTCCAATAGACTTATACAAAACCTTTAAAGACAAACTTTTGATCCCAATATTTGATATGTTTCAAGAAATTTTCTACTCCAATTATCTTCCTCCCTCAATGAATGCTGCCATGATTATTCTTTTGCCAAAGGCAGGCAGATCTCCAAACAAATGTGAGAACTATAGGCCGATTAGCTTACTAAATTCAGATATAAAAATAATCTCTGTAAAGAGCAGAGATGGAATCCTGAGGCCACCAAACCAGAAACCCTCTGCCAGCTGGCTGCACTGAGAAATTCTGTCTATAAAAGTTATGAACAGAATCGGTGACAACGAGCAGCCCTGGCGGAGTCCAATTCCCACCCTGAAGGGGTCCGACTTACTGCCGGCAATGAGAACCAAACTCTTGCACTGCTTGTATAGGGACTGAACAGCCCGTAACAACAGGCCTCCAATCCCATACTCACGGAGCACCCTCCACAGTGTACCCAGAGGAACACGGTCGAATGTCTTCTCCAAGTCCACAAAACACATGTAGACTGGATGGGCAAATTCCCATGACCCCTCAAGGACCCTAGTGAAGGTAAAGAGCTGATCCAGTGTTCCATGGCCAGGACGGAACCCACATTGTTCCTCCTGGATCTGAGGTTCGACCAACGATCGGACTTGCTTCTCCAGTACCCCTGAATAGACCTTACCAGGGAGGCTAAGGAGAGTGATGCTGCTATAATTGGAGCACACCCTCCGGTCCCCTTTTTGAAGAGGGGAACCACCACCCCAGTCTGCCTGTCCAATGGCACTGCCCCCGATGTTCGTGCGACGTTTCAAAAGCATATCAGCCAAGACAGCCCCACAACATCCAGAACCTTAAGGAAATCAGGATGAATCTCATCCACGCCCGGAGCCCTGCCACCTCTGAGCTTTTTAACTACCTCAGCTACCTCAGCCACGGTTATGGACGGATCAACCCCGAAGTCCCCCGACTCAGCTTCCTCCATGGAAGATGTGATGGTGGGATTGAGAAGGTCCGAGAAATATTCCATCCACCTCCCAACGACATCACTGGTTGAAGTCAACAGCACCCCACTTTCACTGAACACAGTGTTAATAAAGTGCTGCTTCCCCCTCCTCAGCCGCCTGACGGTTTGCCAGAATCTCCTCGGAGCCGACCGAGAGTCTCTATCCAAGATCTCACCGAACTCCTCCCACATCCGAGCTTTTGTCTCAGCAACAGCCAAGGCTGCACACCGCTTGGCCCTCCGGTACTCCTCAGCTGCCTCCAGAGTCCCACTAGCCAACAAGGCCCGATAGGACTCCTTCAGCTTGACAGCCCCCACCTCAGCTGGGATGCGGTTAAAGCTCTCCCGGAGGTGTGAGTTGAAGATTTCTCTGATGTGTTCTTCTGCCAGGTGTTCCCAGCAAACCCTCACTACACGTAAATGTCCAGATTAGAGTGCATTCCACTGGTACGCGCTTACGAGCCTCTTCAAGATGGTCGATAGCTGAGGTAGACACATCGGCCCAGAGATATATCCAGCTGCAAGCCTCGTCTGAGCAAATTAGGGTTCTCCCTAATTTGTTATATGAGTATGAGTATAAGGTTCTCCCTATGGCGTTGTTGAAATAATTTGTAATATACGTCAAAAGTCCAGTTAATCAGATCCAAAACAGTAGTTTCCATTTAGGGAGATGTGTAAAAAAATAGGAGCTGCTCTGATACACAGACAGAGAGCAAAAAAATAAAGCAGGAGGGAAACAGGGAGCGGGAAGAAATGCGTTCGCCTCCTTTGAGAGCTTGAGGAAAAAAATAAAGACCACAGTACTGGCCACCTACTGAAGCCCTCAAAAAATAAATGAGTACGTAAGCTAATTCTTTTGCAGCATTTTTAGGAGCACAATGCTCAACCCTATCAGAGCCAGTTTTTTTCCCCCTTTAACTTCCCTGGTAATTATCTGTCCTCTAAAGAATGTGTATTACCTGAACTTTAGGCAGAATGGACACGATGGAAACAACAATGCAGAAGATGAAGTTGAGGCTGATGAAGACTTTGTGTTCTGTGCAGTCATCCGGTTTGGTGTAAAACACATAGAAGAGCACGACAGCAGCAAAAGCCAAAGCATAGAAGATGAAGGTGCAGGACAGAAGAGCTGTAAAACAAATCAAACAATTTTAACAATTTTAATAAACTCTAAACAACCTCTGTTGCATTGTTTCCCCTACCGTTATCCAAGTAGTGCACCCAAAACTGTCAACAGAACAGAGTGCCCTACATACCAAAATGTCTTTCACCCACAACTCATAACAAAATCCACTCTGTATCATCTTCTTCTTCTTTCGGCTTTTCCCTCTTCAGGGATCGCCACAGTGAGTCATCCTTCTCCATCTCACTCTGTCATCTGCATCCTGACATGTGGACATATTGACATGTTACTGTTTTTAGTATTTTATATTGCTTTATATTGTAGCTGTTTTTGTTTGGTTTTTTTTAACATCACTTTCTTCCATTTATTTTTTAATTTATATGCTTTTTTTATGATTGTCTACCGTTGTTATTGTTGTTTATTGCTGTCCATTGTTGTCTATTGTTGTCATCGTTCCTTGTTAAAACAGGTCTCTCTTGTAAATGAGTCCTCAAGGCTCAATGAGACTAATCTGTATAAATAAAGGTTGAATGAATGAAAAAAAAATCCTCAGTCCTCACGCCAACTACCTCCATGTCCTCTCTAACTGTATCCATATACATTTCCTTTGGCCTTCCTCTTTGTCTTTTTCCTGATAGCTGCAATTCTAACATCCTTCTACCAATATATCCACTGTCCCTCCTCTGGACATGTCCAAACCGTCTCATTCTGGCCTTTCTCAGAGTCAGAGTCAGAGTCAGAGTTTCTTTATTGTCATTCGCACCTCATGTGGTACATGTGGTGGAGCGAAATTATGTACACAAGGTCCCAGTTACATCCAACAATAAAATGTATAGGAAAAACAGTAATAACATCTAAGATATGAACTAAGAAAAACATCAACTAAATATACACTAAGCACTCATAACATAAAACATTGAACATCAGCACAAACATGAACATGAGTCTGTGAGCAGATGTGCGCACATGAACACATCAACATTGAAACAGATCAGCAGCAACATGAAACATATCAGCAGCAACATGATATGGTTTTTCACAGTGATTATTCTAGTTAGAGATTCATGAGTCTAACAGCCTCAGGGTAGAAGCTGTTCCTCTGTCTAGTGGTTCTACACTTAATGCTCCTTAACCTCCTTCCTGAGGGGAGTGGGGCAAAAAGTGTGTGTGCTGGGTGAGTGGGGTCCTTCATGATGCAGGTGGCCCTCTTCCTGCATCTGGAGGTGTAGATGTCTGTGATGGTGGGGAGGCTGATTCCGACAGACTTCTGTGCAGCCTTCACCACTCTCTGCAAAGCTTTTCTTTCTGCAGCTGTGCAGCCTCCATGCCACACATTGATGCTCGAGCACAGGATGCTCTCCACTGCACACCTGTAGAAGGAGGTGAGAACTGAGCTTCCCAGACCAGCTCGCCTCAGCCGTCTGAGGAAGTAGAGTCTCTGATGAGCTTTCTTGATCAGGCTGGTGGTGTTGTTGCTCCAGCTGAGGTTGTCATTCATGTGTACACCCAAGTACTTGTAGCTGGAGACCACTTCCACCGCAGATCCTCTTATGTTCAGGGGGGTGTAGATGTTTTTGTTCCTTCTGAAGTCCACAATCATCTCCTTTGTCTTCTTCACATTGATGTGAAGGTTATTCTCTTTGCACCAGCTCTCCAGGTGTTCCACCTCTTGCCTGTAGCTGGACTCATCATTGTTTGTGATGCATCCCACCACCGCTGCAAACTTTACAATGTGACAGCCTGGATGGGTAGCTGCACAATCATATGTGAGCAGAGTAAACAGGAGGGGGCTCAACACACATCCCTGAGGAGAGCCAGTGCTGAGGGTTATGGTGGAGGAGGAGAGGTTGTGGATCCTCACTAACTGTGGTCTGTTTGTTAAAAAGTCTAGTACCCAGTTGCAGATGGAGGGGCTTAGTCCTAGTGTGGATAGTTTGTCCATCAGGGTTTGGGGGATCATGGTGTTGAAGGCGGATGTGAAGTCCACATACGGACGTAAGAGTTTTTCTGCTCCAGGTGGTTGAGCGCAGTGTGGACCACAGAGGAGATGGCATCCTCTGTTGATCGGTTCTCACGGTATGCATACTGATGAGGGTCCTCGTTGATGTTGATGGTTGTTTTGATGTGAGTCATGACCAGTTTTTCAAAGCATTTAGCGACTATCGGGGTGAGGGCCACTGGCCGATAGTCATTCAGACCAGTCACTGTAGAGCTTTTTGGGACTGGGATGATGGTGGCAGTCTTCAGGCAGGTGGGAACTGTCTCCAGAGTAAGTGAGGTGTTAAAGATGTCTGCCAGCACCTCACAGAGCTGATCAGCACATTCTTTCAACACTTTTCCGGGGATGTTGTCTGGGCCAGTTGCTTTGTGCGGATTAATGCTCCTGAAGGTACTCCTTACTTTGGCTGAGGTCACGCTGAGATGCTCTTCATCCGGTGGTGAGGTGAGTCTGGTGCTGGGTGGTCTGTTCGGGTCTTCAAAGCGTGCATAGAACTTGTTGAGGGCATCAGGCAGAGATGGGTCTTTGGGGCATTGTTCACTCCTTCCTTTATAATCTGTTATGCACTTAATGCCCCTCCACATGCTCTGAGGGTCTTGTGAGATGAATTGACCCTCGATCCTCTGTGCATATGTGGCCTTGGCCCTCTTAATACCAGCAACCAGCTCTTTTCTTGTCCTACTCAGCTCCTCTGAGTTTCCAGACCTGAAGGCAGTGTTCCTGGCTTCCAGCAGGGTACGCACCTCTGCATTCAGCCAAGGTTTTCTGTTTGGGTAGCTTTTAACATTTCTGATAGTGGAGACGGTGTCAGTACATGTACTAATGTAACCCAGAACTGAGGATGTGTATTGGTCAAGATCAAGCGAACCTCCATTTCTAACTTCATCTCCTAGTTGTTCAACCTGTGCTGTGCCTCTGTACCTCTGATGATCTAATTCCTAACCGTATCCATCCTTTTCACTCCTAAGGAGAACCTCAATATCTTCATTTCTGCCACTTCCAGTTCTTTCTCCTGTCTTTTTGTCAATGCCACTGTCTCCAGACCATACTACATAGCTGGTCTCACCACTGACTTGTAAACTTTTCCTTTGACCCTTGCTGACACACTTTACTCACAAATCATTCCTGAAACTTTTCTCCATCCACTCCATCCTGCCAAGACTCTCTTCTTCACCTCTTCACCACACTCCCCATTTTCCTGGACAGTGAACCCCAAGCACTTGAAGCCCTGCACCTTTGGGACCTCTGTTCCTTGTAGCCTTACTCTTCCACCAGCGTCCCTCTCATTCGCACACATGCACTATGTCTTACTACGGCTGACTTTCATTCCTCTTCTTTCAAGTGCATACTTCCACCTTTCCAAGTTCGCTTCCACTTTTTCCCTGTTGTCACCACAGATCACAATGTCATCTGCAAACTTAATAGTCTATGGGGATTCCTGCCTGACCTCCTCTGTTAGTCGGTCCATCACCAGAGCAAACAAGAAAGGGCTCAGAGCTGATCCTTGATACAGTGTCTTGCGAAAGTATTTGGCCCCCTTGAACTTTTCAACCTTTTGCCACATTTCAGGCTTCAAACATAAAGATATACAATTTTAATTTTTTGTGAAGAATCAACAACAAGTGGGACACAATCGTGAAGTGGAATTAAATTTATTGGATGTGTCAAACTTTTTTAACAAATAAAAAACTGAAAAGTGGGGCGTGCAATATTATTCAGCCCCTTTCCTTTCAGTGCAGCAAACTCACTCCAGAAGTTCAGTGAGGATCTATGAATGATCCAATGTTGTCCCAAATGACTGATGATGATAAATGGAATCAAGTCTTATCATGGAATGATAATCAAGTCTCCGTATAAATACACTTGCTCTGTGATAGTCTCAGGGTTCTGTTCAAAGCGCAAAGAGCATCATGAAGACCAAGGAACACACCAGGCAGGTCCGAGATACTCTTGTGCAGAAGTTTAAAGCTGGATTTGGATAGAAAAAGATTTTCCAAGCTTTAAACATCCCAAAGAGCACTGTGCAAGCAATCATATTGAAATGGAAGGAGTATCAGACCACTGCAAATCTACCAAGACCCGGCCGTCCCTCTAAACTTTCATATCGAACAAGGAGAAGACTGATCAGAGATGCAGCCAAGAGGCCCATGATCACTCTGGATGAACTGCTGAGATCTACAGCTGAGGTGGGAGAGCCTGTCCATAGGACAACAATCAGTCGTACACTGCACAAATCTGGCCTTTATGGAAGAGTGGCAAGAAGAAAGCCATTTCTCAAAGATATCCATAAAAAAGTGTTGTTTAAAGTTTGCCACAAGCCACCTGGGAGATGCACCAAACATGTGGAAGAAGGTGCTCTGGTCAGATGAAACCAAAATCAAACTGTTTGGCCACAATTCAAAACGATATGTTTGGTGTAAAAGCAACACAGCTCATCACCCTGAACACACCATCCCCACTGTCAAACATGGTGGTGGGCAGCATCATGGTTTGAGCCTGCTTTTCATCAGCAGGGACAGGGAAGATGGTCAGAATTGATGGGAAGATGGATGGGGCCAAATACAGGACCATTCTGGAAGAAAACCTGTTTGAGTCTGCAAGAGACCTGAGACTGGGACGGAGATTTATCTTCCAACAAGACAATGATCCAAAATATAAAGCCAAATCTACAATGGAATGGTTCACAAATAAACGTATCCAGGTGTTGGAATGGCCAAGTCAAAGTCCAGACCTGAATCCAATCGAGAATCTGTGGAAAGAGCTGAAGACTGCTGTTCACAAACGCTCTCCATCCAACCTCACTGAGCTCGAGCTGTTTTGCAGGAAGAATTGGCAAGAATTTCAGTCTCTTAATGTGCAAAACTGATAGAGACATACCCCAAGAGACTTGCAGCTGTAATTGCAGCAAAAGGCGGCGCTACAAAGTATTAACGCAAGGGGGCCGAATAATATTGCACGCCCCACTTTTCAGTTTTTTTATTTGTTAAAAAAGTTTGACACATCCAAT